CCTGGACTCCCGCCCGCCCCAGCCCTGCTGCTGGACACTCGGATGGGGGGGCGGGGGTGTGTGTGTGGCTGTATGTACAGCTCACGCGGAGCCGCGGCCGCTATTGGAGCAAAGGAGCTCGCTCTGGAGGATGGAGCGCCCAGGGACGAGACGTGGAGACCCAACTGCACCCCGCCCCCGCACCTTAGCTCGGTGCCTGCGTGGGCACTTGAGGGGAGGAGACCGGGTATTACCGCTTCTATTTTCCCTGTCCTCCGGAAGTTCCGGACACCCATTACCCCTGGCTGGTAACTAACTGCCCGGAATAACCTGGCCTTTGGGCTCTGGTAGTAACCTGCTCGCAACCTGGGCCTGAAGTCGCCCCTTTTGGCTGCTGTTAAGGAGCCTTGGTCGCTGTCTCACCCCCACCACCGGGTTACTTTCAACAAGTATTGATTACGTGTCTCAGCCACGGGGGAGCTTGGGGTCTGGAATGATCTTTTAGCCCAAAACGCACAGGCACCACTGCCCTATATAAAGAGGCGCCCATCTCTTTAGGAAAGCTGGCCTCCAGAGCTGCGGGCTATTCATTTTCCCAACAACTGCTTCCACCCATTCCTCCCCAGCATGCCCCTGCCCTGGACGCCAGCTCCAGAAATCGGTGGTTAGAAACAGTGGAGAAAGCAAAGCGCAGAAGAAGAAGGGATGGGCGCGAAGGTCAGGGGTAAAGGGGCTGCTGGTCCACAGAGGCTGGCCGAGTTCCCCTCCAACCAGGAGCCCTGCTCGATCCTTTCCCTCTTTCCCACCCTCACTCAGAAAGGAAATCCTAGAGCAGATGATGTTAAAACCACTGTGGTTGAGGAAGAGTGAGACAAGGGCCCTTTTAGCTGGTTTCTTTTGGAGGCCCAGCAGTAGCTGTTGATGGAAAGAAATTCTATTGGCTAAACCAAAAGGCAGCGGAAGTGCAGTCAGTGGCAGGAAGGACCTAGGTGTGGTTAGGGAAGGTGAGGGAGGCAGGCCTGAGCAGTTTCCCTGTCTTGCCTTCCCTTAATGTCCCAGGCGTCCCAAAGAAGTAGCTCTGGCAGGGTCTCGGCATGACAGTTCTGGGACAGATCCCCTCCCATGGGGTGGCTACAATTTGAACTTGGAGGTGGAAGTGGAAGCCACTTCTCCCCTGCTGCCCCTGCAGACCCCTTGTGCCTTCAACCCCAGCCTGACTGCCCCCTCCTACTCCTGCCCCTAATGGGGGCCCTCTTCCTTGGCTACAGCCTTGCCCAGCTGCCGGAGGGTGGGAGCAGGACAGGCCTGGGCCCATCAATTACTGCAGCTGCTGCACGGGCTCCTGAGCCCCTGGGCAAAGCCTGGGATGGGCCCCAACAGGCAGGGAGTGTGGCAGTGTGCCGAGGGGGAGAGGTGGGGTGGGGTGAGGCGGGCTCGTTGGGATCTGCTCCCCAAAGACAGGCCCTGGCCCTCACTCATGGGCCTGGAATTGGGGAGTGGAGGGAGGAGGAACACACCCAGGAAAGGCGGGTGCCAGAGCCAGGTGTATGTATTTTGTTGGGGGGGGGGGTTGTCCATGAAGAGCCTTTCAGTTTTAGCTCTATGGCCCTGCCATGGTGGAAGGTGACATGACATG